TCAAAAGGAGGGAGCTATACTTAAAAATTGCATGTCCAGAAAAATTGTGCTAGAAAATGGGTGTGAGGTGGAGTCTCGAAACTTTTTGTAGCATGCATATAGTTTACCCCTGAATAATATTCTGGCTACACCCTTGCTGGAAATGGGGCAAGAATCCCTATTTTTCTAAAATGAAAAAAATTATGCATGCCTTATACACTTTGTTTTTAAATAATTTATATTAAAAAATATAGGTACACAAATTTTAAAAACTTAAAAAATTTAACTGTTGCAGTTCTAGTTCAAATTTTTTTACCCTGGGTATTTTATTTTAAAAATAAAAATATTGTTTCAGAGCATTTTTTTATTTATTTGTCAAATAAATATTACAAATATTACAATTTGAACCAAACATATAAAAAAATCGTTTTATACACTGTGCCTGTTTTTGCTTTCGAGCAAAAACAATTGTTTTTACCTACTGGGTGTTTTTATATTCTTATAAAATGCATTTTAAACTTGTATAACTGGCAAAAACTGTTAATAATATTATAATATGTATATTCAATTTGAAATACCCATGTTGTTGCCCTTTTGTCCCTCCATTTTATTTTCTTTTATGTTCAATAGTACCCACCTATATTTCTGGGCCCAAAAATAAATAGAGTGAAAATTTGCTCAGAAAAAAAGTCCTCTCTACTTTGTTAAGCCCTTAACTTAAAACCTACTGTTTCTATTTGGAGAGCAAGCACATAATTTTAAAGAAAAAATAAGTTGAACATGGTCTAAAATTTAAAATTTTTCAAAACTATTTAAAAAATAAGACAAATATTTTTGAAATACAATTTTGGTTTTATTTTATAATCCTTATTATTTATTAAATAATAATTTTTGTTAATTATCTAAGTATTATATTAAATTTATGGAAGGTTTGTATGTTTTTAAAAATAAAAAAATTATTCAATAAATATTTTCACCCAAGTTCAATGTTAGGGGTAATTATTTTACAATGAAACTAAAGAAAGTTATAAATCAATTGATTTCAATCAGACAAAAAACAGAAAGATATTTGATATAATTAACATGGTAACTAGACTTATATTAGCTAAATTATTTTCTATGGTTAAAAGCAAATGTCACAAATGTCAAATTAATCTTTATGACATTTTAATTGTTTTATTATTATGTCCAATTTAAAATGTTAATTTATAGGAATCGACTTTTTTAGGAAAACATAGACGTTCCCAATTATAGCAATTACCCAATTTATTTTATAAAACAACAGTTTTAAAAGAAAATTACTACGTTGCCATGTCGTGCAAAAACCTATATCCTCTGATATGCTAAATCAGTTGATATAAATAAATCAACGTTTCTGCATACGGCCCTAAAGGTGTTATTTTCGCAATCAGATCAGGTTTGAAAGATTTAGCAAATTTAATTTAAATAATACCAAAAACTCTATGGAACTGCGCCGTTTGTATTCTTGATCTGTCTGTTTGATCTGTCACATATTAAAAACCAACAATAATAAACGCTCTTTTTTTGTCCCGAACGAAGCTTTTAAATTATGTCCATGTTAAATGCAAGCTGTAATTTACCTCCTACTAAAGACAGCTCTGCATAATATTATTAAAACATTACTAAAACAACAAGGCTCTCAAAATACCCACTAATAAATTATAATTATTAAGATGTTTAACATAATCAAAATTTTGGTGCGTCCCATTTATCGACACCACTGGAAATATAGCGGCATTTTTTAAATAAAAAATATTAATTGTTTAGGATATTACCCAATTACCATAATAAATCTATATTAAATTGGTGTAGTAACATATTTATTTTCTCAAAAGATAAAAATATTTTTCGTCAAAAATTGTCCGCTTATCATTGCTTTGTTATTATTGGAGCTACAAAGTTTGTAAAGTTAGCAAATTGGTGTTATTTTTATTTAAAATGGTGAAAACAGAAAAACAATTGAACGTCGGGTTTCTGAAACAATGGTTAAAATATTTTTTTTTTAATGGGAAAATTTGGAACAATTTAAACAAGTTAAACCCTTACCTTAAAAATAAACAATTAATAAGTACTTTTTAGCTTTTTAAAATAACAAAGTTAATACTTTATGTCTTGCATAGATTTTATTTAAACACCCTGTGGTTAAAATCCCAAATACTTACTTACTAAGTGAATGTTATTTTTATGTCAATCAAAATTTTTTATCAGGAAAGACGTTTAATGGCGAAAATCCCATAGTGGGCCAACTTTTCTTTATTTTTTTTTACCCAATCCAACTTTGTTTTCATAATAAAATAAATTTATAAACATAAAGATGCAAACATTTTCGCCCAAGAGAGCAGCAAAAAAGATATTTAACGCTATAATTTTAAAAATATTATTAACATATTTATAGACAAATGTCAAGTGTTTGCTTGACAACCAAAAGTCCCGAGTTCAATCCTTAGTAAAGTCATTATTTTTTAAAAATTGGTTTAATGATTTAATAAACTTAAGTAGAAGATGAGTTTTCTGAAAAACTAAAACATTTCATAGAATATGACTGAATATTTTGTAAACTTTTCTGTTAGTAAGTTAAAAAACAAAAAAAGTTAAAAAAAAACATCTGGATAATCCAGTTAAGAGTATTGTTAGTTAGTCAAAAAGATTTAAACAAATTCACAGAAATATTTTTGAAGGAGTATTATAAGATAAACATTTTAGCCAAATAAAAACGGTTAGGTTTAAATGTGGTCGATTTGGAATGCCCCATTTAAATATAAATAGTATATACGTATATTTTCTTGTTTTTATTACTTTTAATATTGTAAATAACATTTTATTAAATATTTTTACCTTGCAAAAATTTGTATTTTTCTATTTATCATGATATGTAGTATCATAATATGATATAATATTATTATGTATAATACATGTGTTACCATGGTTTGCAATTGACAAAATCAACACATAGTTGCAAAAATGGCGAATGTGCCGGGATAATATGAATTGGAATTAACTGCAACAAGTAACACGTAAGTCTTCGACTTACTCAGGAGATTTGGACGAACCCAGACAGGACGTAAGACAGTTGGTGCTACGTTGACGCCTACCCATACATTACATGATAATTAAAAGACAAAACAAAGGTGTGGAGAATACATAAACATAGACACGTGTGGTTAAGAAACAATAAAGGATTTTCTCTTTTGGCGGTTTAAGCCGTGATGGTGGTAAAACATAAATAAACCATTTCATTTATTTTCTTGATTTAATCAGTAATTTGTTTTCTTAAACTTGGCATTGATTTGTTTAGTCTTATTTTTTATTCTGGAGAAAGAAAGTGGTTAAGGGCATTTACTTCTAAACTAAGAAAGAACATAAAGGTAATTTTATAAAAAAATTAAATAAATAAACTCTTACTTCATACAAAATTAAAATTTGTATAAAAATTAATACATTAATACATTTTCAACCAAATTAGTATTTATTTCCCTTATAAATAATAATGGTTTATTTTTGTTTAAAAGATTTAGATTTAACGGCAGATTACCTAAAGTACACAAGCTGGTTGCTTGAGGTGTATAACATTTGTCACCTAAACCTTAGTATTATTGAAGTAACATTATAAATATTTTTTTATTTTCATTCATATGGATACATTAACTGTCCTTCATAAAGGAGAGTTGATGTATCCATTACATTTGTTTGCAAATGTAATTTTTGTTGTTTTCAACAAGTTAAAACAAATATAATAAAATCTTATTACAGTAAACATTCTGAAAATTGTTCTAACAAATACCTCAAACAATTATACATTTTGTAGTTTTCATATAGTCAATTATAAAAAGTTTTAGTATTTTTCTTTTAGTTTGAATATTTTAGGAAAGTATTTAATTAAATTAAAAAGTTTTATTTATTTTTTAATTAAGAAGAAAATGCCCATAAAGACATTTATTTCTGATAAATAAGGGTATTGAATTAAAAAACTCAAACTTTAAAATTATACAAATAATTTTAATATTTTTTTAAATATTAATTTAGTTTAGGTGACAAAATTAAAAACATGATAGATTTTAAAAAATGTCATGCTGCGTGCCAATTTTAAAAATAAAAGTGAATTTTATAATAAAAATTGTGATAAAAATATAAAACATTTATCAAAAGATTAAAAATGTGTGCCAAAATTGTATTTCTTTCCAGGGTTATAAAATATATAATCTTGAGAATATGCAAATCATTATAAAACTGCAATTAATAATGCTTGTTAAAGTAACCGAAAACATTTATTTATCTTTAAAAGGTTAATTAATGGTTGTAATCATTATAAAACTTTTCTTAATTTAAATTGGGCACGAAGGCGAAGCTTGCAAGCTAGTATTAAATAAAATGATTGCCAGAAAAGTTTATACACAAGTATATTTTTTTACGAAAAAATTATTATGTATAAAAAATAATGTATTACCTATTAATTACAATATTTGAATAAAATGACATAAATTTCTCCCTTAAAAATGGACTAACAACCGTTTAAATCCTATTTAGAAGCAATTTTTCACAGGGAATGTAAATAGCATGTTTTATGGGTACCCCATATGGGGGTGCACCCGAAATTTATAATGCTTTATCGGCTAGTACTAGTTCACTGCTGGCGAAATCAACAGGTCATTAAAAACTTTCATATACTTTTCAAAGGTTGGTGTCACGAAACTATTTAATAATAAGTTTGTATTTTTGTATGAAGATAATAAAATATTTTTACATTTAGTATTATTTATAAAAATGGCAGTTTATTTTGACGATTGTATGACATTTGATAACTGTAAACTACCTTAAACTTTATCCCGTGACTAAAAATTCCGAAAGCCACTGCTTCAAACTTACGCCCGTGACTGATACACAATGTCTTATGTCGTTTTATAAGTTCATAGCAATTAACAATTTTATTTAAAGCAAATACAATTTTGAGACATGTTTTTAGTTATTTTGTTTGTAAAGGATCAAAATAAACATTTTCTTACCGCTTGCAGGGTGGAGGAGGCTTGATACCGTTGCTTTCAAGTTCCTTTTCGAGTTGTTTGCACCGAAGTTGTGAAATGTCCAATTCCCTTTTCACTTTCCACAGGTGTGTGTCGCATATTGGATCCCTGCATTGATGATTTTTCAAGATATCCTGTGCCTCAAACACAGCACCTAAGAAAAGTTAAACAATCAAACTTTTTCTAAAAACTATTAGATAAAGAAGATTCTAGAGCTGGTAAATATTTTTTTAAATGGAACAAAATTGGAGTTTACCGAAATTATATATTGAAATATAATAAAATTCATTTACAAATATCAAATTCATAATTAAATATTGCAATCATTCAATTCGTTAATATTTAAATTGAAATATTGTTTAAACGCGAATGGTAAAAACATTTGATTCATAATCCAACAATATATTTTTTTATTTATTTTACTCCATAGGTACTGCTAAAACATTATTTTGTTACATTATGTTTATGTAAGTTTAAAACCAATCTGGTTTACCGATGAAAAAACACTCTGAAATTGAAGAACTATTACCTAAATAAATAAAAACGTACGAAGCAATTGCTAACAACATAAAAATTTAGAATGTATGCTATTAAAAAGGCTATCCAAATATCAAATAGGCCATGCCCATAACGTCCACCTATAAAAATATATAAACCAATCCAACTCAGCTATGAAACTACACTAATCAAAATCAGGGTTAAAGTAAAATTATAAATAATATAAATAATTATTGTAAATGTAAATTAAAATAACTTTATTGGAAAAAGAAAGATGTCATATGTATATATATATATATATTATATAATACTAGGCAACACTGTAATTAATTAACCCCCACTACAAAATATCCTACCGACTGCGCCATGAAGTAAATAATACCAGAGTAGGTTAAAGACTGATTTATTAAAATGACTAGCATGTAGGTGAATGCTGCCCTACTATGGAGAAAGGCAGTAACTGCAAAAAAATGCAAAATGCGTTTTCTTGTGCTATGGTAAAGCTATGGACATTTTGTAACCGAATTCAATACAGAAATGCAGTCTAATATCTCATAAGTTAAAAAATCAATTAAATACCTACTGCTTTTTATAAAAATGTTGTTTATGCTAATTTTCCACAAATTTCTTGTTTAGCAGTTACTGCCTTTCTCCATAGTAGGGCAGTATGTAGGTATCGTGACTAGCATGGGTGGTAGGTGCATTTGTAGTGGGGATTTATTAATTACTGTTGCCTAGTATTATGTATACTTATGATACGTGCAACACAAGTAAGTAAGCGTTAAAAGGCTGTTTTCTGGTCACAAATTTTTACTTCCCCCAACAAGATCAAACATAAAAGAAAAAAAATTAGAGGAACAATTATTTGTAAGAACATAATTTTTGGAGAGAAACTTATTTTAAATATGAATTTTCCAGTTTTTTAATCGCAAGTTCAGAAGAAAAAGATAAAGTTAGCAAGCAGATCGAGAATAAAAGTAAAAAAAAAAGAGAATAAAGAGCCTAAAATTGAAGAACCTGATTTGAAAAAAAGAATAGACAAAGTAATTTAATTACATACCAAAAAAAAATTACAAAAAAATAAATTTTTCATTTTATAATTTTACTTATTTTACATGGTAAAAAAATTGGAACCGAAAAAAACCATATGGACCGAAAAGATTGGTCCGAACCGGACAGAAATATTTTTTTTGGAACCGTAACAGAACCCGAACCGAAATTTGTCGTTTCTCTCGGAACCGGACAGGAACCGTTATTTCATTTGAGTCCGGGTCACTGCTTTTAAGTTTGAATAAAAACTATAAAATTATAAAAATTCAACAAGTTGTAGGTTAGGTTACTTTGAATCATTCTGGAATTCCCTCTATTTTCTCTAAAAAAAGTATCTAAGTTACACTGAAAGGTATCTAAGTTACTTTTAAAAAGTATCTTAGTTACTTTAAAAAGTATCTAAGTTACTTTAAATTATCTAAGTTACTTGAATGTATTTTAGTTATTACTTTACCGAGTAACTTAGATACTTTTTAAGATACAAGTTACAATATACTTTTCCAAAGTAACTAAGTCAAAGATACTTTCTGTTCAATATAAAAAGTATCTTAGACTCTTTAAGTATCTAAGTTACTTTTAAGTACCTTTTTTTCAAGATACTCCCAGCTCTGATCTTGAGCAACGTTAAAGAAAGCGATGTGATTAAATGGAAAACTTTCTAATAAACTAACTGCTGTTGATCATAATATTACCAGCTTTCTTATAAATTATAATTATACCATTTCTGTCGGACATAATTTCAGTATTTGAGAAATAAAACAAAGCACAATTTTTTAATTATCGTTCAATATTATCAAACTGTTCAAAGCTTTTGATTTTTATTTTATAGGGTGATTCAAAAAATATAGGGTATATAGGGTGATTCAAAAAATCTACTTTTGTTTTTTTTTATTTATGATATAGAAAAATTGGTTGCTGTGCACATCAAAATAAGCTTATGTAAGTAGGAGTTCTTACTTTTATTTCCACTATTATTTTCAATTTTCCATTTTTACATTGGTCCGATGAAGAACCTTTTATATCTCGCCAACAATTAAAGCTAAGCCCAATACATATTTTAATATGGAATTGAATTATCTAAAAAAGGTATCCTATGGTTTTTTCATAAACCTATCCATTCAAAAGATACTTAGGTCAAAGTTAAAAAAAAAAAATATTTTTTTTTAAATTTAAAAGTTCCAGATAAGAATAGTTTTCATATGAGGAATATATGTTTTTGTTAAAAATTAACTGATCTATAAAATGGTTTTTTTTGTTTTTTCGATAAATGTAAGCATTTCAAATAATAATACGTTTTGTTTAATTTAATATATATCCAAAAGGCTTGAATGCCGGAAAAAATGAATATTAAAAAAAAAAGTTTCAGAAAAAAAGGGGAAATAGTTAAGCCTATTTTAATTAATAAGAACACAAATTTTAAAGATATTTCAAACAAGTAAAATAAATATTGTATTCGATAGTCATTAAAGAAAGTCATCAAAAACATGTACATTTAAAAATCCTAAATATTCTACTAGTATCTACAGTATCTATACCAAAAAACATAGGATACATGTTTTGTAGAGCATTCAATTCTATTAAAATATTTATTGAGCTTATATTTATTTGTTATTGAGATATAAAGTTTTTTTCATAGACTAATTTAAAAATGTAAAATTGCGATGGGGGATTAATAAACTGATCGAAAAAAAAGTTAAGGATATTGTGAATTCTCTGAGAAAAAAATAGTTTTCAAAAAAATTTGTATAACGTACATTTACTGTCACCTCTTTCAGAAATAAAACACATTTGTTTAACTAAAAAAATATTTTAATTAAAATTTACAGGCAACTTTTCTCTTACAAAGTAACAAAGCAGATAATTATCAAAAAGAAAAAAATTATAATTTATTATAATTACACTGGTCTACAAATTAATGGAAAAAAATTGACTGGAAAAAATGAGGATGTTTTCTAAGTAATTTAAGTGCGCAGAATTTAAATTTACCGCCAAAATTGTGCTATCAGGTCTAGTTCTTTTTATGCCGCATGGTGGCGCTACTGTAAAGTAATTTGACGGAAATCGACATTTCTTCTCTATCCCTATAATAATAGTGCTTAAGTATGTCAAGTAGATCGTGTGTTACTAATCCAAGCTACAGAGCTGTAAACAATCTGGGTCTAACGGTACCGGGTTCGATTCCCGGTCACAGCCTTGGGTGTTTATTAAACATAAAAATATCATAATTAAACATAAAAATATCATAAGCTGGCTAAATAGTCTGAAAAAGACTAAAAGCTAAAAAAAAATAAAAAAATAATCCAAGCTATTTCTGCTTTGTCTGTGGTGAATATATAGTTGAAAAAAAACAAAAAAAACATTGAAATATGCATATTTACATTACTTTGGTTTTGTTCTCAGAAATTTAGACAAAACTTGGACACTGACACTGTTTTGCAATAGTTGCAGAGCTATTTTATACAAGTGGTCGAATGGCGAAAAAAATATTTCGATTTTTCAGTTCCAGTAATATGGCGAGGCAAAGTAATCACCAAACCGATTGTTATTTTTGTTTAACAAAAGTTGTTGGGATCAATATGAAAAATCGATGTTTCAAAACTAGTTCAATTGAACGTTAACGTTTACCAAATGCTCCATGCATTGCCAGTCGTTCCTAGTACTTGGTGATTCGGAAACCTGGGTGCGGTGAGCGATGAACAAGAAGAACATGTACATCAAGATTTAATGAAAATTGAAAGAAAATTGAAAACAAGAAGAACATGTACATCAAGATTTAATGAAAATTGAAAGAAATTATCAAGGATTTGGGGACAAAAGTATGCTGGGAGATTATTTGTGAAACTTACCCAGAGAAATACAAACGATGTTCAAACACTGCCATCTACTATTGAAATTTCCTTTATTTTTGAATAAATTTACCAACTTGTATTAAAAACATACGAAAACAATGATATTTTATATTTCGGAAACCTGACCTGATAGGAGAAAAACAGTTACAGATTCAAATTTAGCGCACCACATTACCTTACAAACACTATTTGGTTGCTCCAGTCCAAAACCTTGTTTACCAGTTTTATTAATAGCGTGTAATTCTACCTCTGTTAAACGATCCAAGTCATTTTGATCCAAGGTATCCCATAAATATGGAAGAACTTGCCTCAGTGGCGTTACGTCCTGAACAGGAGGTTGATGGGCAATTGGTGCCCTTCCGAGCATGTCTCAACCATGCTCGATTCAGTTTAAATCTGGAGGGAGCAGGGGTAATGGCAAATGATTAATTTCATAGAATGCTAGCCGTTCTTGTACTACCCTGGCTCTGTGTGGGCGAGCGTTATCATTCAGAAATCTAAAATTGGGCTCCAAATTCCAACTATAATCATTCACAATGTTATCAATGATGTCGTGAGCATAAATTTCACCTGTCATGGTACCTTCATAAACATACAACTCCGTTCGACCTCCGTAGAAAATTCCACCCCAGACCATTACACCTCCACCTCCAAATGGATGCACTTCTTGAACATACCGGTCATTAACTATTGAATTTCGTAGTCTCCAGACACGAACTGTACGTCTGTTAGGACGAAGACAAAAGCGGCTTTCATCGCTGAACATCACAGTACGCCACTCATCATTCAAGTTGGCTCTTTTATTACACCAAAGCAAACGTTGAGCTCTATGGACTGCGATCAATGGAGGGCGTCTTATAGGCTCATAGCAATATAAACCCATATTTATGGGATACCTTGGATCAAAATGTTTATTAAGAGCTTAAAAGTAGGCTTTTTTAAGTGTCCAGCAACCATTTTTTTGATATCAGAAGTTAAAAAAAAAGATATTTGATTTTTTGATTAAATACAGACCTATTTATAAAATTTATTTTGGTGTTCCACATGGGTTAGACTTAGTGCCCCTTTTCTTTAACTTATTCGTTAACGAACTTATTTACAACCCAGCATGCAGCTGCTTATGTCGACGACATAAAGATGAGTATATACTCATATGAGTATAAGAACGTATGGCAGGCCCCATCGGCCACGCCTTACACTGATCTTCCAGGATTATTTTACCTCCTTTCGGTTCTATACGTATCCAGCCACTGCACAGCGGTACCTGTGTTTGGTAGATCCGAATTTTCGCCCCGGCAGTTAATCTTCCCTAGGAGGTCCTTGATGTCAATGTCGATGGTAAGGGCCTTTCCCGGAATTTTGTCGCCGGGCCGACTGACCCAAAACTAAGTACAATCCAGACTCCCCCTCAACCAGGGTATTAGTAATGACCCCATTCAATTGGGGTTCATGAATGAGGCTTGGGTTATTAGTACGTTGCTTGGACATTCTTGCTGGTCTTTCATCCAAGTCTCTGTCCGGGGCTGCCGGAATTAGGAATCTGCTGCGCGCAGTTGTTAAATTAATGTATTGTACCATTTACCATTAACCTTTAATTAAATCTTAGCAAACATTTTATTTTCTACCAAGTTTGTATTATATGTATTCAATAATATATTGTTTAGATGTTGTTTAGGTTAGTCTCGCTTTGTTTATTACGATACTGTTTATTTTACTTTCGTTATCTTTTAAAAGCTTTAATTTTATGGCTGGCCTGTAAGTTTATGCTTATATTATATAAAATATATAATACAATAATATAATATTGTGACATTCATAGCACTATGATAGTTCGAATTACTAACATTGAGTACGCCCACCCATATTACCTAATTTTGGGCTGCTGATTTAAAAAATGCCACTCGTTTTGCAGGACGTCTAGGATTCGAAATAATTGCGTAATAAAATTCTCTGCCCAATTATCTCAAAATGTAAGTTTTTTGATATATTTTGATATTATTATTATTATTATTATTATTAATATTATTAAATACCAAAACAAAAATTATAATGTTTTTTGGTAAAAAGTATCATTTTTTGAAATTTTTGTCGTTTTTTTAATTACTAATTAAATTGAAAAGGCAACAATGTAAACGGGTTTCGGTATAAGCATTACTCTTCGACTATTATTTGATGTTTTTATTCACATCATGCCTAAAGTACCCAAAAATTTAATCTCGAATCTTATTTATTAAGTCTTATCAAAATTTAATATCGAATTGAAGTATAAAGGCCCCTTTATCTACTTTATCGTTCAAGCACACTAAAGTGCATCTATTAATTATTGACATTTAAAATTTAAACTTTAAATTGTATTTTTACTTGAAAGTGATTTTAAGAACCAAAAATGAAAAAAGAGTAGGAAATAGCAGTGGTAATGTAAATTTGTTTTGTTTTTGTTGCGGTACCTTTACGCCCAAGAAAAACCAAGGCAATATTTTATTACAAAATTTTATGAGATATACCTACTACTTTAATTTTGCAGGAATATTAAATGGACCTGATATACCACGTTTAATAAAAGATCAAGCATTCAAAAATGCTCTCAAAGTTGACGAGCTTGTCGCATATGATAGTATTAAAGCTGTCAATGAAAATGTTCATATCGGTCCTAAAATTGGCGCCAATTCATTGAAAAAATGCTTTCCGTTTTGCAAAAAATTAGCGTTAATATGTCATTTAAAATACATTTTCTTTTTTTTCCATCCTGATATATTTGCCGAACTGATGAACATGGAGAACGATTTCACCAAGTAACTGCAAATTTAGAGCATTGGTAGATATCTATAGATATACCCATATATGGGTATAGCGGAAATAAGTTAAATTCATTGCTAGGAGACATTTGCTGGAATTTGCAGCAAAAGATGTACGACGATGATGAGGATTAAGCACAATAATACTATAATCCAATTTGATATTTGATATGATTTAATAAATTTAAGGTAGAAAAAAGCAACATTGTGAGGGCTTAATTTGGATAAAAAATATTGAAACTTGTTTACTTTGTTGCCCTTTCAATTTAATAATTAAAATAAACGACAAAAAATTTCAAATAAAGGTTGTTTTTTTTACATAAAATACATTAAAATTTTAGTTTTAGTATGTCATATTGTTAAAATAAATATGATCTATTTGCCGTATACCAATTACTTTAGTACATTCAAGATACATTTAAGTCAAAATAATTTAATAAATAATTAAAATACCAACAAAAAACTTACATTTTGAGGTGATTGAGCAGAGCATTTTTTTACGAAATTATTTTAAATCCTAGACGTCCTAGAGAAAAACTAATGACATTTTTGAAATCAGCGGCCCAAAACTAGTTAAACTAAGGTGGAGTACTTAATGATAGGAAAAAAAAGTTTGTACTACTATCATAGTGTAATGATTTGTTTTTTTTACACTCATACCTTTATAGCTAATTAGTACCATGGTGTCGTTTGAATAAACTCAAGTTAAATTTTGTTGAGTTTCAGACCATACAAAAGTATATTTAAAATTCGCACCTCTATCTTGATTTTAAAATGATTTAAAGGTCAGCTAATGGCCACTAAGGAAGCTCAGCCTCTTAAAGGGGCGCCCCTGAAGATGGTTTTTATTATTATTTCCGAAACTGTTTGGGATAAAATAATGAAATTTGGTATGCTTACTTAACTTTGTATGCTAAATTTAAAAACAAAACAAAATTATTTATGAGTGTATTAAACAGGGCCTACGGCATTTTTAGCCCAAAATTTTGTGTGTTTTGTGCCCCATTAAGAGGCTGTAGGACCTACAGTGTAGGTCCCTTAGGAACCATTTACCGACCTATTTTTGGCCCTAAAAACTGATTGTTGAGTATTACACACTATTTTCGGGACCGTTATAGGAACATATTTTGGATTCATTATTTTGTAACCGTCATTTTGACAGTTACCCATTGATTTTATTTTATTAGTTTTTGTACATCTATAACGGTAGTTATTTTTATTCTTTTTTTTTTTTTTAGGTTTATTGACTTTTAGTCTTTACGACTATTTAGCCAGCTCATGATTGTATATTTTTATGCTCGAAAAACAACCACAACACCCAAGGCTGTGACCGGGAATCGAACCCGGTACCGTGGCGCAGATTGATTACCGCTCTGTAGCTTTAACGCACTGCGCCATCTTTTTATTCTTTTGTTTATTACTTTGTTTTAATAGTATGCAACCCAGAACACTCATTTGTTTCTAGTCTTCTCGACAACATTCACAACATCTTGGCAACATTGTGTTTTTTTGTTTAAATAATCTTCTACGCACTTAACAAGGTTTACGTTTTCCTTTTCCGTTTTAACACTGAAGCCGTTTAGTTGGGAGTAAGCCTTGGCTTAAAATTTTGATAGAATTCCAAAGATGTGTAGTAATTCTTCTGGTTTAATGGCTCAGGGCCGGTTAAAGCAATAATTGTGTCGTTTGAAAGCTCTAGGTGAGTTAATAACTTTTAATATAGTGGTCGAATATTCTTAACCACGCGGTCTCCATTTTAGGTGTTCGTCATTTTCCAACGTACTTTTTGTTGACCTAGCCTTTAGTTTGAAAACTCCTTAAAATAAGGGTAAGCTAATGTAAACGGATTTTGTAGGGTGCTAAAGCGGGTTCGTATTTCTTTTTAGGGTTTTTAAGATGGAGTATAGTTTTTATGTTGGAGTTTTTTGTAAGACTTTTTATGTCAGATTTGTTGTGAAGGAATGGTTTTTTACCCTGAACTTGTTTTGGATAATGGCAAGTTCTTACGTTATTGAAAAGCCATCCTGAAAAATCTGACATAGTAGGAATTCAACATCGGAAGCCAACCCATTTGGAGACACAATCTACCAGGGCCCCAACCCAACGATCAGGTCGTAAAAATTTGATAAAGAATCATGTGACGTCATATCCATTTTAGGACAACAGTTGGGAACAAAATTCGTGGTATTGTTGCTGTAAACTTGTTATTTCGTATAGCCACAAAAAAGTAATCCAATATTTTTAATTACACAGACCTACATGGACAAAGTAAAACAGTAACCATTGATCACAAAACACTAATAATTGATGCGCGTAACACTTATCAACTTAATATACAATGTCAATGTTAATGTATGTGTCAGTGTCAGTGTACCAAAATCATACATATTATAACATTAATTTCAAAAAAATGTTTTAGGACAGTTCTTTTATTTTGTACATACTATCTAATTACAATTTTAAACTGAATAAATTCTTTGTCTTAAAATCATACCTCTGAATGTTAGACTCTTTCCCATCGACAAGCTTATCAAAGCGCAGCATCCTCCTCTGTCAGTTTTGGCGAGATGCTTTCTTACATACTTAAAGTACAAATATTCTAGAAACAGGAGGAGAGCGGCAAGTAATATCCCGGCCATAAGTAGCAGGAACGCCGACAAAAACTGCTCCAGTGCCAGGGGATCCGATGTTTTGTGCTCTTGTTTTCCCGGTTTGCAAACGCCTGTCATCCAATATCTTAAACAAACCAAAATTTTTATTAAGTATGCAACGAAGCCACTGATGTTTGATTTTTAAATGTTTATCTCTATATTTTTGTTGCGATAACATGCGAAACTCTTAAAACATTCGTAAAAACTTTCGACTTGTTAAGTTATGGGCATAACATTACGAGTCGATTATTCTTTTTTGGCATTCTTAGAAAAATTTGTTTTCGCGCATTTATTAAAATGATATGTTCTTTATAAAAACTACTTTCTTAAAATGAATTAGTCAAAAATAACTAATTATAAGTCATATTTGACTAATTGTCATAGCCAAAAAGCAGTCACTAAGGGCCGGTTTTTCAATCATAGTTTAAACTTGGTTCAGCATTCGAACTTGGTTAAAACAAAATATGCCGTTTTTCAATTAAAGTTCAAGCTTGTATTTGGTTTAAACTAAATCAAAAGTTGAACCGTCAATGTTGGCCGTTTAACCGAAGTTCAACTTGACATAACTTAATTTGTCTCTGCTTTATTGCGTATTACGTTGTTTTTTTCTTGTTTTGTGATCTTCTGTTATTATAAACCAATGGATATGTTTGAGGTAGTTAGTGAGGATGATGAGGAAATTGGCGAATTCCTAAATAATATTCAACTTCGTGTGCACAGGCCACCGGTAACACCGAATCATTTTGCAAAGTGGAATAATGATGATTTTGATAAAGTTATTTGGTGTTTTTGGTAATAAGATTTCTGAATATCTATTTAATATATTCTGGATGTGAAAATACAATGGTACATCTTGTTTTATAAACTATTTGACAGTATCTAACGGTTTTAAAAAACAGCAGCCAACTTATACAGGGTGTTTCATAATATATGCGCAGGACTTCAGGATGTGATAACTTGTCCAAAAAGATGAAAAAAGTCGCTATTAACTTACGCTCTAAAATGCACAATTTTCGAGATACAGGGTGTTGAAATTTTAGAAAAAAATTCGTTTTTTTTTAATATCTCCGGAACCCTTTATCATACAAAAAACAGCTTTTGTAAGCATTTTCTACTGAAAATAAGCTATGTTTTGTGCCAGAAAATTTTTTTTTCCTCATAATTGGTGGAGGTTTTGAAGGGCTAGCGGGTGTTTTTCTCCTCAACTTCTAGGCCCATTCGAACCGCCAATGTTTTCTACACAAAAAAGGTACTCTTGGTCATAAGCTCTAAAGTTGACCGTTTTCTAGAAAAATCAACTTTTATGTTTAAAAACATGGTCAATTTAAAAAAAAAAATTTTTTTTACTAATTAAACAAAATTTATTTTAACGTTAGAACAAGTAACAAAACCAAACCATAATTGCAAAATAAAAAATGATTCAAAAGTTGTCTTTGCTAAATTCTCCAAACCGTAAAGGTAACGCATTTCGAACATTTCAGCATTTATGTAAAAAATCATTTTTTATTTTTTTTTTAATTTTGCAATTATCGTTTGGTTTTGTTACTTTTTCTAACGTTAAAATAAATTTTGTTTAATTAGTAATACAATTTTTTTTTTAAATTGAACATGTTTTTAAACATAAAAGTTGATTTTTCTCGAAAACGGTCAACTTTAGAGCTTATGACCAAGAGTACCTTTTTTGTGTAGAAAACATTGGCGGTTCGAATGGGCCTCTCAAAACCGTACGTTAAAGTTGAGGAGAAAAACACCCGCTACTCCTTCAAAATCTCCACCAACTATGAGTCTGGCACAAAACATAGCTTATTATGAGTAGAAAATGCTTACAAAAGCTGTTTTTTGTACGACAAACGGTTCCAGACATAATCGAAAAAAACGATTTTTTTTCTAAAATTTCAACACCCTGTATCTCGAAAATTGTGCATTTTAGAGGGTAAGTTAATAGCGACTTTTTTCATCTTTTTGGATGAGCTATATATTATGAAACACCCTGTATAATTCAATGTCATAATCGTAACAATAATTAATTCTAACACCCCTTTTCAATTTAAATGTACAAACTAAAACATTTGAATTGTTAAACTAACATATCAATGACTTAACAAACTTGAACGAAATCTTATAAATTTTTCTTTAACAAGAGGGTTCGTAAACATATCTGATATATTTTCATTTGAAGGAATGTATTGCAAAAATATAACCTTTTTAGATACAAATCTTTGATGAAATGATACTTTTTATCAATATGTTTCGAACGCTTTGAGTTTTCAAAATTTTTAACTAAAGAAATGGCACTTAAATTATCAATTTTTAAGGTCACTGATTCACAGATTTTGAAACACCCTGTATAATTCAATGTCATAATCGTAACAATAATTAATTCTAACACCCCTTTTCAATTTAAATGTACAAACTAAAACATTTGAATTGTTAAACTAACATATCAATGACTTAACAAACTTGAACGAAATCTTATAAATTTTTCTTTAACAAGAGGGTTCGTAAACATATCTGATATATTTTCATTTGAAGGAATGTATTGCAAAAATATAACCTTTTTAGATACAAATCTTTGATGAAATGATACTTTTTATCAATATGTTTCGAACGCTTTGAGTTTTCAAAATTTTTAACTAAAGAAATGGCACTTAAATTATCAATTTTTAAGGTCACTGATTCACAGATTTTGAATTCACTTAAAACACCTTTAATGTTTATCAGTTCCTGAGCAGCAATACCAGCAGAAATTTATTCTGCTTCCATTGAAGATTGTGCCACACACGCTTGTTTTCTGGAATGCCATCTAATCGGGTTTCCACCATGTAAACATACAAAACCACTAACACTTTTTCTGGTTTCTCTATCCCCAGCCCAATCGGCATCGCATAAGCCAATTAGCTCCTGCATGTTCCCCTTTTTAAACTGTGATCCATAATCTTTAGTTGCATTCAAATATCGCAAAATCCTTTTTCCAGCCTCCCATGTACTTTTTCTTGGTTTGTCCAAAAATCTACTCAAGTAAGCAACACTAAATGCAATATCTGGTCTACTGACTAAACAGAGATACATAAGACTGCATATCAATCTTCTATATGGAACGTTGTCCAAAATTGGTTCCTCTTCATTGACTTGTTCACTTCCATAGGTGTTGCCACAACTTTTGTGTCTTGCATTGAAAATTCTTTTAGTAATCTTGAAATCATCTTGTTTTGGGAAATTTTTAGACCTGACTCATTTTTGATCATTTCCATGCCAAGAAAAATGTTTACTTCTTTCAACATTTTTATATTAAATTCTTTATGTAGATTTCTTAGTGTTGGGTTTTGACAATTAAATCTTATTTTGTATTTTATAAATATCAAGTAGTTCTTATTTGTATAGTCATAGTAAAAAATAATAAAAAAAAACAGTTTGTTAATTTGCTGTAATTAAAACTTTTAATAATAAAAGTTGGAATCAGATATATAAAAGTATTATTTCAAGTTCCACGTTCCAACTAAAGTCTACAGTTAATGGGCCCAGAGCTACGCGGCAAATAAAATTTAATTTTAATTCAATTAAAAAAAAACAAACAATGGCAGAAGAAACAGAAAAATACAGAATCTCATTGTTTGACGGCACAAATTTTGATAATTGGAAGTTCCGAATTGAAACCCTATTGTACGAAAAGGATTTACTGCAATATGTAACCGAAGCATACAAAGAAAAAGTTAAGTTCTATGAAAGTGACAGCGAACATCAACGAACAGCAAAACAACAGCAATTGGCCGAACTCGAAAAAAAGGACCGAAAATGCAAATCACAAATGATCCAGCGGATCGCCGATAGGCATCTGGAGTATGCGAAGGATAAAATCTCAGTATTTGATTTGTGGAGTACGCTTGAGAATAGGTTTCAACGAAAAGAAATTGCTAGTCAATTGCTTACTCGTAAGTCCCTTCTAAGCCTGAAATTTGATGCGAAAAATGATACTCTTGGTAATCATTTTTTGAAATTTGATAAAATGGTTAGAAATTTACGATCAACGCACGTAAGGCAAAATGAGGTATTTACGGCGACATAAGTATGAAAACCCGAATACAATAATATACGTTTATTTACTTGGCAAAATGTTCCCAAATATTTTAAATCTTAGAAACAACAAAAAAATTGTAAAAGGGATCAAGACAGGGTTGAAAAAATGTCATATTATTCGCGTGTTGTCAGTTAGTCGTGCGCGCAATCAGTATTTGGTCAAATTTAGGCTAATACATTGTGTTAATTTTCAGTTACCGCAAAGTAAATGTAAAACTTTTAATATGGAGGTGTTACCATGTTGTAAGTACTTTAAATAAACGTATATATTAACGATGTAAATCTAATATCTCTTAGTGAAATATCCAATTATCCAAATAGAGTCAAATTTGCATTGTTTAGTTTATTGTTAAGTTTGATGAAAGGATATAAAAAAAGTTCCGCAAAGTTTCGCTTTGAGTGCCAGCTTAATCAATGGCATTGAATATTGGTTTTACGTGGAAACTATTTTTTTTTCCACATATTTCCACATTTAAGAGTTTTCGTCTTTATTTTCAGGTAGTCGAGACGATTTTGTGGAAGCTAAAAAGTGTATCACAAGAGAAGAACTATATTTATTATTAAAAAAAGAACGTTTTTACAAGTATTCGCCAATAAAGTGTTATGAACGATTATTTAAATACATTTTGAGCAGTTTAAATATTGCTACGTGCCCGTTAAACTTTGAAAAATCTGTAAAATCCTCAATTAAAACGTTTATTACGAAATTATTTGTGAAAATAAAAAACTGTCATCAGATTAACGACCGACTTATTAAAAACCACAAGGACTGGTTAAACGTCGAGTTCAAACTTCCACACTTAAAGCAAGCTCTTCAGTTTACTCCACAAAAACGTATACAAGGTAGACCAAAAAAAGAGTTTAAAGCAATGTCACAGCGTTCTAAACAAAGAAATGTGCAGACGCTTGTTAAGAATATTTCTCCAGAACAACTGTCTTTCGCAACTGAATCCTGTTTGGTAAGGTCTGGAAAGCGCAAGGTGGCAAAAGTGGTAAAATTAGCTTTGGAAG